ACGCAGACTCATGATCCCTAAGTTCCAGCCTCTGCTCCCAGCTCAATAAGAGGTCTCTAATTTGGAAAACAAAGCAAGCATCAACTCTTGTCTCCTCCCCTGCTTCCTCTAAGCAAGCCCTGGGCCTTGCTCCTGTTTAGTTGACATAGTCAACTAAACTTTCCTGGAGGGTTCAGTAATTGGATCCCCATGAGGGTTGGGGTGGGAATGCCTATGGACAGCGTAAGACCCCAAGGGTTGCAGACACACCAGGTGATAGCAACAAGCAGACAGGGAGAGGGAGCACTAGAGAGGCTTTGGATTGTCCCCAGTAATCAAGGAACACTTCCAGAGAGGTCTGTGCCCACCAACGCTGACTTGGTCTGAATTAGCCTGAGAGAGGTCCTGGCAGGACCTGTTTGTCTTTGTCACAGCCGTCTCCTCTGATTCTATCAGCCTTGTGTCCCCTAGAGGCCAGTAACCTTTCCTAAGCATTGCCATGTTTAATCAAAGCTCTGCCACCAAGTCCCATTGGACTCTAAGACTCCTCCAATGCTGCTGTGAGTTACTCCTGGCAGTCACTGGTCCTTTCCTGTTATTTATCCAGCCTGGCCTCAAAAGCAGAAGTTTTCTCTATTCCCATGGAACAACTAAGGAGAAGAACCTGTTCACGACCCTTACAAGCTGAGGCCTGAGCATGAGGGGACCCCAGGGGCTCTTGGTGGCCTCCAGTTCTGGGCTTCAGTTTCAGGCACATGAATGACTTGCCAAAACACAAGGGAAAGAAACTCTACTCCTCTTCCCATTTTAGGGATCGCATTTTTCCACTAGAAATATTCTGTTAAAAGTCCTGAGGACACTTACAGACCTAAAACTGCAGTATCTGAGCAGCAGGCAGCTGAGCTGGGCATGATGGTGCACACCTATACCCTCAGCAGTCTGGGAGACTGGTGCCAGAGGGGTACAAGTGCAAGCCCAGCTTGGGCAACTTTACAGACTAGCAAGACCTTATCACCAGATTTAGAAATGTTAAAAGGACTGGAAATGTAGTGCAAGCCAAATGCCCTGTTTCAATCCCCAACACTACACACCAAAGGAAGAGGAAAAAAGGGAAAAGGGAGGAGGAGAAAGATATGGCGCACGGCGAATTGTAGAACACAGGCAAAGTGTTGGCAGGAATGGGTGGTCCATTCGGCCTGTCTTCCTTCCCTTTTTCTCTTGGTTCCCTCAAGCTATGAGCCAGCCTGGGGGTAGGGCAGAGGGCCTACGAGGCCAGCTGGCCCTCCTAATTACAAAACCTAAAGCTCTCTTGACAGATCTATCTGTAGGTGCAGAGCTGATTCCCGTAGCCTCACACAGGCTGCACCTGGGGGTCCCTGCCTGTGGCCTCTAGACCAAGGACAAGGCTGATTAGAAAAGGAAGCCTGGAGGAGGGGCCAGGAACCAGAGAGAGACAGAATCCTGGGCAGCTGGATGAAGCTAGGGTGTCAACGCCCTGAAAAGGGGCCCACAAGAAACAGAACAGACCTTAGTATTGTTGCCTCTGCTTAAGTAAAGGGAACTAGAGAGAGATTGCTGCAGAACTCCGTGGGTAGAACTAATGATTATCAGGGACTTCCCCAAACCTAGTCTGCCAGCCCTGCCCCTAATATGCTGGCTCAGTGTCTCTGGGCCCAGCTACCCCAAGTTTCATGAAACGTGCTCAGAGATGCTCACCTAGTCAGCCCGGAGGTGCACCCCCACGGCAGCTCGCACAGGCGAGGCTCAGACCAGGCACAGCAGAAGTCTGCCTGTCAAGTCGGCTGGGAGGGCAGCTTGGGAGACGCTCCTTGTGGCAGGAAGCCCAGGAGCCAAGCACCGAGCCAGGAGCTTCCAAGGGAGTTTGGCTTGGGGATTTATGAGTCTCTTGTTTCCATTTTAAAAAGACTCTAGGCCTCAAGTACTCTGGAGAGGATCGTTCTTTGGAGCCAAGACTCTGGCAGGAGGGAAGCTGGTGTCCCTGAGCAGCACCGTCCTTTCTCCTCTGTGACCAGATCAGCACTCCTGACTCCCATGCTGTAGGCCAGGGAGGGCCCGGCATGTCTCTTCTTACTATGACTTAGGACAAGGGACATGCAGAAGAAAGGGAAAAACCATGTTTCCTTGAGCTTGAGACCAAGAAGGAGCCTCAAATTGTTGATGAGTGGTAGTGAAAGTCAGAAGTACCATGGTTCTTGTGCCATCTGACTGGGGACAGGAAAAGTCACCAAGGGGACTTGAATGGCTTTCCAGGATTACTTCTCTCCAGTATCCCAGGACTTCCATTCTGACTCAAATTATGCCAACAACTTCCCCACTGAGATTTGAGTACCATTTAAGTCTGCTGCTTAGATCTTACATTAACCTGATTTTAGGACCAAACTGCCAGACGTAAGGGGAGGCTGAGCTCTGCGGTGTCCGGCCATGTGCAGATGGACACTGACAGCTGCTGATTTATCTTGCATTTCTGGAAGAAATCTTTAGCTACAGATCCTGCTCAGCAACAGTCCCAGGATGACTGTAGCTGAAAGAGATAAAGGAGTACATGATGATCCATTTCATGCAGAAATGAGCTATGTTGATGGAGGAGAAAAGCAGTGTCAAGAGGCCACAAGCTGAATGTGCTACAAACTAGGGACAGCAGGAGGAGGGACAAGAAAGAGAAATGCTGACAGTGAGAGTAGGAGGCTTAAGAGGTCCCCAGCCACGATCTTGTTGAATAAGATGCAAGCTCAGCAGAAGGACCATGAATATTGATGGATATTTTCAGTTGAACAAAATACCTTGGAGATGTTTGGATTCTAATCCACAGATATAGCCAACTGCAAGATATTTACAGAAATCCATTTTCTGTGACAGAGGAAAACGGCATGGTGTGACAATTCAACTCCATTTGCATACAGCACACGCCCTTGTGCCTTTCTGGAAGGCCATCCCTTTCTGATTCCTGCTTGCTGCCTCCAACTCTGCAGAGTTCATAAGGTTCTCCTGAACACTGAGTAAACTTGGAAAGTAGCACCCTATAAAGGTTCGTTGTTGTTCTTCTGCTGTGCTGTCCCTTGGACACCTCTACACAGCTCACAATGGTTGGCGGTCATGTACTTGTGTACTGTGCATACCTTGCGGTGAGTTGTCCACTAGCAGGAAGCAGTCACTGAGTGCTTTGTATTCTTACAGGCTGGGGTATGGCTGTAGCTCAGAGTCTGGTATATGCTAAGGGATCATTAAACGCTGAACGAATATATAAATGAAAATAAACACCTGTGCACTTACCAGACGTATTACGAGCAAAACATGTGCCCCTCCCCCCACCAGCGGTGCTCATGTTCCCTCGGACAACTGTTCCTCCACCCCTCACCACTGCTGCGGGCGCTCGGCCCGCGTCCTGTGGGCCACTGTCTTTGGAGGGAGTTTATTTCGCTTTGCTTCAAGTCAGCCAACATCAACAACAATATGGAGATGGAAACCAGACGAAGACCAATGAAAGTTGTTGCTTCTCCAGCTGAGGTTCCAACAGTTTTCAGGCTGCTAATGAGACCCAGCTAGGAGTAATCAGGAAGTGTCTAAAATTAGATGTTTTAATTTGAGCAAGGGGGAAAGAGACTGACTCAGAAGGGGGCGTGGTCTCCAGGAGAGAGAGTAGAATCCTGGAAGCTCCAGAAAAACCAGAGAATCATCTACTGCTCCAACACCCAAGAGAACACCCAGGGTGGGACCAGCATCCCTGTGACCCAGAACCTGGTCACAAATTAAAACAATTCAGTGGCCATTTGTCCTGAAACTCATTGTGTTTCAAGCCTGAGAGCAGATGCCAGGGACTGCCACCTGGAAAACGTTATTTGGAGCTTGACTATGAGTTTCTTCTAACCAGCTCACCACTTTCCAACTGCATTATATTGGTTCTCATCTCCTACCCCTAAAAGTTAGGCATAGAGGAGGTGCCTGGCTGGCTGCCTTTGACAAATTTTCCTGACCACTGGGTCCCATGGAGACCCTTCTGTCTTTTGAGCTGCCAGGAGAACTTTAGCATCTTTACCATTCATGTACTGATCTTGCTCACATTTACTGTGCACCTGTTATGGGGTAGCTACTGAGGTGAGTGTCAAGGATTTCCCACAGAGACTGGGTGTGGTGGCGGGCACCTGTAATCCAGTTCTTGGGAGACTGTAAACAGGCAGATCACTATGAGTCCAATCTAGTAGTGAGACCTTAAACACCCTGTAGACCCTTCCCTAATATATATATGGATTTTACACAAAGGAGCGAAAAACACGGAGCTGCTTTAAGAAGCTAAATCTCCCACTAGTGACATAGCTCAGCAAATTAAGCACATGTTTAGGCAAGAGCAGGGACCGAGGTGGATCCCTGGCACCATGCAGCTCGCCGGCCCCAGCCCCAAGTACGCTGAGACTGCACCAAGTCTGGGCGTGGTGGTGCGTGCCTGTAGTCCCAGCACTAGGGAGGCTGAAAACAGGAGGATCTCTGTGAGTTGGAGCTGCGTAGTGAGACCCTGTACCAAATACATAAAAAATAAAAAAGTTCAGTCTGCGGGTGAAGCGAGGGAAGCAGCAGCCCCCAAGACCACGTGATAACTGCTCTCTGGGTACGGGAAAGAAAGACAGCACAGACAGACAATACTCAAAAAAAGATTTTCCTAGATACTTGCGGACATTACCTTGGGTTACTGGTCTTCCTTTTCTCCCTTAAGGCCACACATGAGCAATTTGGGGCCAAAGAATGTGCCTTCTCATTCTTTATATTCCAACCCGCAGAGAACTTTTCTGTAGTCGAAGTCCAGTGCACGATATTGTTGGTGATGCCAAGAGTGTGGATCTCTTCCATCACGGCAAGTGTTGATTGTGTCCATTCTTCTGAGAACCTACAAAAATAAGCTGAAACCAAAGGGGAAAGAATTATAATGAGGCCTCACAAACCAACCAAGGGTGATCCGGAGGGGTCACCTTTCTTTCTTTCTTTCTTTCTTTCTTTCTTTCTTTCTTTCATTCAGGGGGAGCAGAGGCAGCTGCCTTTATTGGTGACAATGGGCTGGGAGGCTTCACTCAAAGGCCACACATTTGATCTTGAAGTCACCATAAGCTGCCAAGTAGTTGATGGCCTCCAGGCTGAGCGGGTTGGGGAACTTGAATTGGTGTCCATCTGGCAGTGTGACAGTCAAGTCAGCCTAGTCAGAGGAGACGCAGACCTCCACCACGTTCCCAGGCTGGAAGGGGAGGGCCGGCTCACAGTGCTCCGCCCCGCAGGCACCACCGTCCTTGCTGTTGCACACCATGATGTTGGCGTCCCTGTGCACATTGAAGTGAGGGTTGAAGTGCAGGCACAGGTTGTGGCTGTCTTTGCCCAGGTTCAGCATGAAGCTCTTGGCGTCGGGGGCCACCTCACCTTCACTCTGAGGCACTCCCCAGGTTTGAGGTTCAGACTGCTGGTGACCAGACCATGAGCCATGATTGAGGCCAAGAGGATGTTTCAGACATTGCTGCACCAGCTGTCTGAGGACTCCACCTTTCTTTCTTTCTTTCTTTTCTTCCTTCCTTTCTTTTTTTTTTTTTTTTTTTTTGCAGAACCAAGGATTGAACTCAGGCCCTTGTGCTTGCCAGGGAAGCACTTATTCCACTGAGCCATCTCCCTGGCCCCTTTATAAGGATTTTGTTGTTGTTGTTGTTGTTGTTGCTCTAATGCCTTCAGGGCACTTTTGGCCAGCGGGAGAGGCGTGAGGTTCGAACTCCAGCAACCTGAGGCTGACAGCTTTGTGGAAGCAGCCACTTAAAGGCCTGAGCTAGGGCCAGGCCCCCCTTCCTTTCTTTTTTTGTACCAAGGATCGAACTGGGGACCTCACACTTGCCAGGCAGGTACTTATGCCACTGTGCTATCTCCCAGGACAAGGTCACCTCCTTTAAAGGATCGCCTCCTTTCAAACGCTTCTGACACAGGAAAGTCGCCAGGACAATTACACCTGGTGCTGCCTAAGAACAAGTGAGTGGTGTGGACAGACTCCCAAGGGTCTGCTGGCACCGAGGGTGCCCCTGCGTTCAGCAGTTCCCAGGACAAGGCAAAAGCCTGTCTTCTTAGGCAGGAATTCATGGCTTCCAGGAGTGTACCAAGGATAAGCGCTGAATCTTCCTGTGGCTTCCACAGGCCTTCTCGGCTGGCGCAGCCTGCTCTCCATCCTCGTCCCACTACCCTCTCCAGCACATCTCTGGCACGGACATTCTGAGCTTCCTGCCATTTCCCAAGCTCAGCAAGTCCTTCCCACATGCTTCAGATATCTTTTTCTTCTTCATCCAAAAAATTCTACTCATCTTTTAGGATCCAACTCACATGCCTCCTCTCTGTAAAGCTTTCCAGCATTCACCAGCAGAATCAACCCCTCAGCTCTCTCAGCAGCTCCACCATCTTATTTATAGCCATGTTACAACACTTGCCAAGTTGTGTTGTAAACATATTAATTAGACTGTTTGGGTTACAAGCAAGAACAATCAGGACTTCAAAGCCTGGAAAGTCTTCAGGGTCCAGCTGAGCTCATAGGAAGCTAGGGTGCTGCACGAGTGCAGGGTAGCAGTTACCTCTTAAGGGTCACTGGATGCCGCCTCCGGAATCTCCATTAACAGAACTGGCTATTCCCTCTTGACACCATCTCTTGCCTGCCCCACCATGCAATCAGCTGTAGTAGCAAATCTTATAAAATAAAGTCTAAGATCCGTTTCTCTTTCTTTGACTGCCACCACCTCTGTCTCAATGGTTCTCAATCCTGAGCCCACATCAAATTGCCGAATGGCTTCTAAACCCTCTGATCCCTATGATTTTCCTCTGCTCTTGGGTTAAAATGATTTCCTTTCCCTGGTAGCCTTCCCTTCCTCACCTTTGGTCCCTCTCCTGTCCTCTGCTGCACTGACATTGTGACTCTGTTATAGCTTAGATATGGTATAGAGGTCCCCTAAAGGTTCATGTGCAGGAATCTTGGTCCCTAGAATGATGCTGCTGAGGGCTGCTGGGTGAGAAGAGGGTGGTTAGGTCCATGGGATGCCACTCCCGGAGGATTGATGCTGCGCTCATGCACTGAGGCCTTTCTCACAAGAGTGAATGGCTATCCAAGAACAAGCCTTGCCTCTGGATCCTTCTCTGGCTTTTGAGCTCACCATGCTCTGTCTCTGTCTGTCTCTGTCTCTCTTTTTCTTCCTCTCTCATATTCCTACCATAGTGCCATCTGCACATTATGATGCAGTCAAATAACCTCACCAGAGGCCAGACTGATGGAGCTGTTCCATCTTGAACTTCACCCTCCAAAACCATGAGCTAAAGAATTCCTTTTTCTTACAAAGTACCTAGCTTCAAATATTTTGTTACAGCTACAGAAAATGAACTAAGACACACTTAGGTGTACCATATCCTACCCCCTCTTCACTGCCTTTTGTATGTGGGACAAGAGCTCTAGCATTAAACTATACTCTCGGTCCTTTTAAAAATTTTTTTTAAATTTTGAAAGTTTCCCACACTGGCCTTGAATGTGTGATCCTCCTGTCTCAGTCTTCCTAGTAGCTGAGATTACCAGCATGAAACATGCTATCTGTCTATCCTTCCTTTATTGGGACCTTTTCAGGCATGTTTTCTTCTGCCTGGTAGGTTCTCCCCACTTTCTCCCTCCCTAGCTAATGTATATTTTGTTGAGCAAGAACAAATTTCCTGGGCCAGGGAGATGGTTCAGCGGAATAAGTGCTTCCCTGGCAAGCACAAGGGCCTGAGTTCAATCCCCAGTTCCACAAAAAACAAACAATCAAACAAACAAACAAACAAAAAAACCCAACAAAACAAATGTCCCTGTCTGTATTCCCAAAGCAGAACCCTGTCTGGAGTTTTCTCCAGTCTTCTGGTATAGTGGATCCATCTCCAGCCTTCCCCAAACTGGTCAGTTTATAGCTAGAGAATCAGGAGTTCCTGCCACCCCAGTAAAAAAAAAAAAGCAAAAAGCAAGTTAGACATCAAAGCCTTTTTAAAACCAACATTTTGATGACTTAAGAGTAAATGCATGAACAGCACATGATTCAAATTTTCTTTACGATGCACAAGGGCTCTTTCTGGACTCGCATTCCCTTGCTGCCACGCTAATGAGGAGAGTGGAAGTTGCCCAATTCTCACACCATCAGCAGATGGCTCCCCATATTTGGGAAACTTATGTGGCAGAGGAAGGAGGAGGCCAGCTCCTCGAGTGAGTTCTGTGCCTCGTGGCTCTTCTGCCTCCTTTCGTACCTTGTCTGAATCAGAAAGGCCTAGGCCTTGGAGTAGTGGGGTTTGCCTTCTCAAGGTGGCAGGGGGCATAGCAGGATTCATGGGCTCAAGCAAAATCCAAATGCCAAGATTTGGGCCAGGATTTGCCACATAGTCCCCTGGGCATTGGTTTTCCCATTGACAAGATAGGGATAATGATTCTTGCCATTTCTGATAGGAGTTGTACAGGTAAATGAGCAGCTAGTGCATGGCAAATGGTCAACATCATGGCCGCTGACAGCAGCACAAATGTAAGGGCCCTGCCAGCAGCCTCAGCACTCCACGAGTATGTACAACAATAGCTGTCTTCCTTGCTTCCCTCCACTGAGGAGTACAGTGTGCTTCCCTCAGGATGGAAGGAGAAGCCACGAGACTTGACCCTGGGATTTAGTGCTGGGGGCTGTGGGGAGGAGCTCCTTGGGGAGGTGGGATGCAGGGAGTAGCTCCCTGGATATATCTCTCTGAATGCATTGCTAAAGGCCCGTTCTCATTTTTAAAGTCATTGGTGAATGGCTGTGATTTGGATGTGTGTGTGTGTGTGTGTGTGTGTGTGTGTGTGTGTGTTGAAACAGGACAAGGTCTCATTAAGTCACTAAATTTGAGGGGCTGAGCTCAAACTTGCAATCTTCCTGCCATGACTTCCCAGAGTGCTAAGATTATAGGTAGGTGCCACCAAGCCCAGTTTGGGTGACAGTTTTAAAACCCTTTTAACACTGACTCACCCTGGCCATCAGGGATAATTCTGATCACAGCAGGACTGGGCTGGCAGGAGTGAGGCAGAAAGCACCCTCACCCCAGCGTGGGACAGTACTGGGTGGGGCCCTGACCAGGGGCTGCTGACCTGTGCACTGTGGGTCCTGCCTCCCCAGTGACATTTACGTATGTTGGGTGAACATCAAGCAAAGCCCAACAGAGGACCTGAGGGTAAGGGGTAAGGACAGGTGGCATAAAAAGATGAGAGGCTCAAGTAGCATGGTTGGCAGCCCACTCACTCAGGAAGGATGAGAGACTCACCTCTTTCCTTCTGCCTGTCACTATTGCTTTCCAAGTGCAGCCACTGTTTATCTTTTGGGAGCATGCTCTGGACCAGCTTAGGAGCTGGGTCAGAGTGGAAAACAGTTCAGTCAAGTCCCTTCCTTCATGGGACACACAGTGCTGAGGAAGCCAGACAAGGGCATGGGTCATTATGAGTATGCCAAGCATTTGCAGGTGCGCCAGAAGCTCACAGTGCCCAGGTACACAGCCCGAGGAGCAGTCAGGGCAAAGGAGCTGCAGGTTCCAAGGCCCAGATTGGCACACTGGCTTTGGACATTTTTCATATATCTCATCTGGCCTTCCTGCACTCCCTGTTCATAGGTGAAGACATGCACACTGCGTATTTGAGTTCTCTTTGGCGTTGCTAGGTCCCTGGGAAATGGAAGTACACAGTGAGATTCAGTTGGCCAGATGCTGTCCCTCACCGTGCATGCCAGGACATTAGATCTTCCCCTGTGGCCCAGTGAGACCCCTGCTTCTGCAGACACTGACATGCCTTTTCTCCTCCCTCGCCATTCTTCCAGAGAGTGATTTGGATCTGATTGTAGCAGTCAAGGGCCTATGCTGGGATTAGATTGACTTAGGCTCAAAGCCCACTTTAAAATTCAACTACTACAATCTTGGAGAGATTAATCCACCTCTCTAATTGTCAGTTTCTGACCTGTAGAACAGAACTAATGAAAATGCCTATAAAGGATGATTTGGACAACTGTACTGTGTGTTTCTGCTTATCTATGGAAAGAAGCAGATAATGCTTAATTTGCTTTGTCTCCTTTTTTAATTGTTTCTCCTTTTTCTCTTCTTAATTTCCTATATATTTCTTTCTCTTTTTCTTTCTTCTTCCAATTTTACATGCATATACCTGGTAATATGGATAACTCGTTGGAAGACAACACTATACATTACAACAAATACTGTGAAATTTATATTACTTTGTTTAGTGAAATTCTGTATCACTTGTAATTTTTCTGTTTTCATACTTTTTGTGCTCTTTAAAAAAATAAAAATTTTAAAAAGAAAGAAAATGCCCACTAGCCAGGTATAGTGGCTTACACAATAATCCTAACAACTTGGAAGGTTGAAACAGGAGGATCACAAACTCATAGTTAGTCTGGGCAATTGAGCAAAATAAAGAAGGGCCAGAGATACAACTCAACTTAGTAGTAGAGCAACCCCAGGTTTAATCCCCAAT